CGGTGGGGTTGGGGGTCCAGCATATGCTCGGCCCGGCTGCTGACAGATTGTTGCCCATCTTCTCGCCTCCAGGCTTCCTTCTCTCTGCGCTGCAGAGGAGGGTTTTAGACGCCCAGTCAGGCTGGTTCTGGTGGAGTTGGTTTGTGCGTGGGCAGAGTGTGTGTGTGTGTGTATGTGAGACAGAAGGAGATGAAGATGAAGAAGAATGTAAGGAGGCTGACCTTTGACCTCTAGCTGCTTTCCCTTCAGCGCTCGGAAGATATTTTGGTTCTGTGGAATAATTTGAGCTTTTCTCCTCGGATCGGATGGATCCATAAACGCAGCGTTGAGGGGAGGGGGAGGGGGTCCTTAGCTTCCGAGCAGCAGGCCTGTAGATATTCCCCGCTGTAGAGTTTCCCGACCAGAACCAGAAGGTGCGAACGACCCAAACAAATCCAATGAAACCCAGTTAAATTGCCGCAGTTCCCTCTAGAGTTCCTGCTCTGCTCCTCAGCACAACATTTCAGTTCTGATGGGATTAAAGCTTCCAGCAACAACAGGTCTGATGTCCAACAGAGCCTCCGTCTGTCTTTCTGTCTTTGACCAGACTGACGTTCTGGATCCGGTTCTAAAATAATAAAAGTGCCTAAAACTTCCTTCATTCATTCACTCCACACTGATGGTGGCCTCAGTAACGTTCTGCAGGTTCACACTGTTGGGCCTGTTGGTAACATAGATATAGAGTAAATAGAGATAATAGATAGATAGATTGATAGATAGATAGATAGATAGATAGATAGATAGATAGATAGATAGATGATAGATAGATAGATAGATAGATAGATAGATAGATAGATAGATAGATAGATGATAGATAGATAGATAGATAGATAGATAGATAGATAGATAGATAGATAGATAGATAGATAGATAGATAGATAGATAGATGATAGATAGATAGATAGATAGATAGATAGATAGATAGATAGATAGATAGATAGATAGATAGATAGATAGATAGATAGATAGAGATAATAAAAGAATAAGAATAAAATAGATGTGATTAACATAGATATAGGGAAGACAGAAATTAATACAATAAATAAAGATGACACAGATGTACATAATATAGACGGCATAGATATAGTGCAAATAGCTAATATATGTAAAATATTATAATATAGGTATAAATAAAATAGATGTTAATACAATAAATATAGGTGTAGCTAATACAGATAAAATTGATATGGAGGAAATAGATAATATATTAACATAATAGTACGGATATTAATAAAATGGATATAATTAACAAAGATATAATTAATTTAGATGTCAATAAGATAAATAGTCATGAGATAGATGTAGATAATATAGAAATAAAGTACATATAGATAATATAGATGCAGAGAGTATATATTTAATTAATATAGATAAAAATAATACTGATCATATAGATGTAATTAATACAGATATACATAACAGATGTATATGATATAGATGTAATTTAATATAAATAACAGATATAGATATCGTATATGTAGATAATATAGATGTAATTAATATGGATAATCGTTTTGGTCAGTGGAGGGAATGTGGAACACTCAGAGAGAACTCCTCTGAACAATAGGACCTGCTGGATAAAGCCCTCAGGAAGGGAATCGAACCTGGGAGCAATCTAGAAATAAATCTAGAAATGATGTCAGTGTGAGTCTGAATGTGATTAAACAGCTTTCAGAACCCCTGAAGTCTGTATCTGTTTAAGATGGTTCTGGTCATTTTTGTTGACAGGCAGGGAAGCGAAAGTCGACATTTGGGGAATTAAACTGCAGACTGTTGGTGGGAACGTAGAGCATCCACGCTGCCTGATCTCTGGCTGACCCCTTCTATCCCAGCATTCCTCCTTTTTCCCTGTTTTCCAGGATTTTCCTGGTTCTTTCTTGTTTTCTGTCTTGGAATCAATTATTCAGGAAGCTTCTTCTGGCTTTTTTCCCTTTTGGCTTTTTCTATTTTGATGTTTTTAGATTTTTTGGCAAGTTGCCGTATTTTTGTCAAACACTTGGAGCCAGATGGTGGACTGTCCTCCTCCTCCTCCTCCTCCTCCTGCTCCTGCTCCTTCCTCATCTGCATTTGGATTTTATGTTGTTTGGACCGAGGGATGCAGGGAAACAGAACAGTGACCAGTTGGAAGGACCCCACCTGCTCCCAGATTTAAACCTCCTCTTCTTCCTCCTCCTCCTCCTCTTCCTCTGACCTTCTCCTCCTCACGGCTGCTCCTCCTCCCCCTGGTGGAGGCTTGGTCTCAGGCCCGGTTCTACTGGCTCCGCTCCAGCCTGGCAGCAGGTGGAGCTCCCATCCCCCGTCACACACTATGTTCTTGTTTCTGGGTCCAAACCCACATTGTCTCCATGGCAACGTTCACCTTGTTTGGGTTTCTCCTCACGTCTGATTGGTCGGCTGCTCGTCATCTTTCTCCAGATGGTTCCGTTGGTTAATGGACCCAGTAAGCCCTGCAGGTCTGATGGGAACCATGTTTTTTGGACATAGCCAATCTGGACCCGCCTTCCTCTCTTTGAACCCTGAGGAAGAACCGGGTTTTATTTCATGTGACGAAGGTCCGATTTGTTGTTTCTGGAGTTGGACTGATGACAGCAGAACTTTCTATGTACTTGAGGAGTTCTGACCCATCAGAATCTGGCTTCCTTCATAAGGCTAGGAAGCCTGGCTGCCCGTCCGGCTCACAGGAGGTTGGACTTTACCTGACCCGGTTATTGCGGATCCAGTTTTGAATTTTTTTCAAATTATTTCCCAGATTGTTCAGTTTAAATTTGATGTGGTTGTGACCTGATGAAATATTGAAAACCTTTTGTCTTTGACCTCTTTCGTTCTGACCCATATCGGTTGAAAATGTTTCTGATCCTCCTGGTTTTCACACGAAGCCTCAGCTGTGATGCTGTGGGCCGAAACAGGAGACAGTCTCCATGGCAACCAGCTGGTCCAGTTTAACACATTCTGCTTCATAGCATCAGTGCACAGATCCAGAATCAGCTGCAGGCAGAAACGGGTCAGTTCTGCCTCATTCCTGCTTCCTCTGGGTCATCCCGCTCTCAGTTACCGCCCAAATAACCGTGGTTCTATCCAAACAGAACATTGGTACCCTGTGAAGCACACTGCTGCAGATGGAGATGATCTTGAGAGTGAAGAACATTCAGAGAAACAGGCTAGAGAAAAGCTCTGGAAGCTCCTCATGTTTGCAGATGGATACCTAGCAATGGTTCCAACTTGGTTCTGGAACCGTTGGTTCTCCTCTGGACATGAAACCAGACCTCTGTGCTGGATGTTCCTCAGCTCTAATGTTCTTAATCTTCCTGCTGCTCCTCCAGGCGAGGCTGCAGTTTCGGCCTGGTGGCTCTAGATGGCGCCTCAGGCTGCTTTTCTCAGTTCAGGTTCTAGTTCTCCAGTTTAAACGTTCTGAGAACGTTCTGAGTCTCCTGCTGAACGTTCTCTTGTTCCTCCAGCTGCTGATCACAGAAAGCACCGCCTGTTCTCAGGTGGAGATCCTTTCTTCTTACATCTGGTGGAATCCTCTGACCTGAGAACTCACCTTTTGGATCAGGAACCTTCTAAGGATCCTTTTGAGGATCGTTCTGAGGAACCTTATGAACTTCTAGGGTGGACAGTGAGTTCTGAGAGGTTCTGGTAACTCAGGTGTTCCTTTGGTTCTGATTGAACATGAGAACAGAACTCTGGTTCTATAGTTTCCTCCACTGAAGCTTAACAGATGGAGATGAAGCAGAACCATTAACGGGTTCTCATCAGTTTATCTGCTGACATCTGTTCATTGGACTCAGAACCAAAAGCACCAGAACCATGGAACCTTTTCTTGGGACAAAACCCCCAGTCAGAAGACCTGCTGGACCAGGTCCAGGGTCTGGGTCTGGACCAGGACCAAGTTCTAATTAACCGGGTCTCTTCTGAAGAACCGGGTCAGGTCTTTCTGACTGGGTGGCCTCAGCAGAACTGGTTGGTTCTGTTGGACTCCCAGCAGCCAGTACTGATGCAAACATCAGATCCCAAAAAGAGTTTGACTGCAGCAGGACATCTGATGTGACGTCGACCCAAAGGTTCTGTTTAGCTCAGCTCAGAGCCGCAGAGGAAGGAATGGTTCTAATGTTTGGCAGCTGAAGCTCAAACCAATCAATCAGAACCAATTAACCAGATCTCTGCAGAACCAGTCCTGGTTTTAGTTCTTCTGTTTGAACGTGTGGTCCAATGAGAGGGAAGCTGGTGTTAAGTTCTGGTTCTGTCTGTGGCGCCTTATTTCATGCTGTTAGAAAAGGTTCTTTAGAACCCTGTTATCTATCCTTCACCTACAATCCTACAGTCCTCAATCCTACAGTCCTCGGATCAGAACACATAGAGGCTGAGCTCTGTTTTACCTTCTGTGCTTCAGTCTGATCTGGTATTGATGATTGTGTTTGGACCCTCTGTTGACCTGTGCTGCTGGGATAAAATAGGAGCCATAGAAGAACCAGCTGTTGATCTATTTGGGTCGAACTTCACACTCTGGACCTCAGGCTGACAGTCCAGAGGTCCAGACCGGTTCTGTTTTTCTGGCCAGTTTCAAGAAGTCCAACAGAACCTGCAGCAGCGTTCCTACATGTAAAAGTTGCTCCCGAATCGGATCAGGATGCAGGTTCTGAAGAAGCTTTTCTACCTGAACAGGTGAAGAAGAAGCTCCGCCCCTAAATTTAAAGAAATGATCCGGAACATGAGAACAGTTCCTTTGATCACTGACATCATCATCAATATTATTATTATTATTATTAGATGATAAACTTTGTGGAGTTCTGTTGGTCCTAGCAGGTTCTGAGTTCGGCTCTGATCCGTCTGGATGACTTTCTCTGGTCTCTGACCAGTGTTCCCACCTTGACCAGTAGTATTTCTCTCTCTGCGCTTAGAGCCTTATGGAATTTGGGGGGAGGGGGGGTTTGGGGGGGCAGGACGCTGAAACTATCATCGTGCACGCGGGGGCGCGCACCCAGCAGCAGCGTACTTGTGTAAGTGCACGCGGGGGATCGATGCTGTTTGTGATCGATCAGCGGCGCGTCTGATCAGTCTGTGGCCGCACTCGGAGCGACGCAGTCCGGCGGAGGAGCAGCGGAGGTGTCCGGCGTTCGGAGCAGAAGGAAGAAGGAGGCGTCCGGGACGGAACCGCTCCGTCTTCTCCTGCTGGACCCACTGTAGCGGAAAGCAGCTCCCGGGTCGTCCTGCCGTCTCTCTCCGCTCCTGGCAGCGCTCGTCCCGGGGACTCCGGCGCTCTCTCCCCCCGGAGCGGTGGGCGCTCCGCCGGACGGTCGGAGATGTCACGGTGGACCGCCTCTGCTCGCGGCTCCTCTGCTCAGTGAAATGCAGTTCTGGACCGTGTTGGATCTTTTTACTCCCCGTAAGAACCACCGGACCTCCGCTCTGCTGCTCTAACGGGACTTTTGCGGCGCCGACCGGAGATGAGGTTGGATTGTGGGCGAAAAGTTGTGCGCTCCCCGGCGGAGGGCCTCCACAGGTCCGGACAGTGACCCGGGGCGGGTCCGAAGTTCAGCTCTGCCCGGAAATGTGAAGCGAAGCGGGCAGAAGGAGGGCTCCGATTCCCCCTCACTTACTCTCACACACACTTTCTTTTTCTGTTCTTCACCAACACACACCAACACACACCAACACACAGGCTGGAGTTACAGTAACCCCCCCACCGCCACCACAAACCCTCCAGATCTCAGCCTGCAGCGGACAGATATGTATTCTCCGCTATGTCTGACCCAGGTGAGTGCCTCTTCCTCCGGCTTCCTAGCAGCGGTGCTCTGCAGCGCGGCTCCCCGCCGGACGCAGCGCGCGGGCCGGCGGGTTCCGGGGCGCGCGCGGTGGCTCCCAACTTTTCTCCGCAGCCGGACCAAACCCCGGCTCCCTGCACCTCCTGCTGCGGTGACCTCTGCTGAGGTTTACGCTCATAATTAAACCAGAACCCTCATTTCAACACTTTAAGGCGCGTTATTTTTTTCTCACTTAAACTTCCCAGAAAGCAGAGAAACTAAGAGTTTCTCTTTTTGTTTTTACTCAGTTTTCCAGTAGGTTGTGGACCAGGCTGGCTCTGTTCGGTGCGTTCATTCGCTTTCCTTAAAATCCCACTTTTCCTTCCTGCTGCTTTCACGGCCTCACCCAGAAACCCGAGGCCTGTAACGCAAGCAGAGGAATCCTGGAGTGTGTTTGTGTCAGAGGTGATCTGAGGTGACTCTGCAGAGCAAACCGCGCAGCTTGTGGCTCCTCTCCATCCTAAATTTAAACTCTCCCAGTTAAAGTCCTGCTGCGGGCTGCAGGGATGCGTTCAGGGTCAGAGGTTAGAGTCAACCTTTGTAGCTGCAGAGGTTTTATTCTCTTCATGTCTGATGAAAAACTGGAACAACTGGATTAATTTAATCTGATAGTAGCTTCATTTCTGCATTACGCACAAATATTTAATTACATTTTGCATATTTTTAATGTGAGCAGAGGCACTGATATTTAAATTATTTTCCTCTGTTCTTAATAATTACTGGATCTTGATATTTATTGATGGGAGTTTTTGATTTGTAGATAATTCAGAATAAATTAAGAACATTTAGAATAAATCTGAAGCTTGGTGTGTTTGAAGTTGGGTTGAAACGGCAGCAACAAATAGGAGCGTTAATCAGATTATCAGCCCGTTAAACCAATAATCAGCAGCCTGACTGCTTTTTATTTCTGGTAATCCTTCTCAGCAGCCAGAAAACAAAAAGGCTTCCTGCATTTTATTCAGCCTGATATTCTATAAGAGCTGAAATATTTAGTTTTTCCTAAAACAAACTGAAAATATCCAGTTTGTTCCACATTATTTATAATTATAGATTTTAATTTGAAAGAAATCTTTAACCCTTTTCTGTTTTTTTTTTTGTTATAATAAAAATACATATTTTTTGCATGGAGCTAATGTAAGCAGTTTACATTTAGCCACTAGAGGGCGTCTTTTGCGATCACTTATGAAATCCCGTAAATAAAGTTATTTTAAATGAAAACTAAAAACTGGAAAAACTTCACAGATCGGTGATCAGAACCGTCCAATTCAGCAGGTTTAATTTCTGTGCTTAAATGTCTTAAACTTCTTAAATGTTTCATTCTGTATCAAGTTTGGACCTTCTAACCTCTGCTGGGACATTTTCCCAAGAAATGTTTATACAGAGACGTTCAGTGTCTGCAGCAGATTCTAAGCAGGGAACAAATCTTAGATTTAAAATAAGAAATTGATTTTTATTCTTGGATAGTTTTTTTTAATTCTCCCCCTCTCCAGGGGGGAAGTTGAAGGAGCCTGGCCCCTGGCCCCGGCTCCGTGTATTGGACTCCTCTGTGATGCCTGAATGCTCTGAGCCAGCGCCGGAGGCTCCGCCGGGCCTCTGGATTCCCGCTGCTCTAATTCCCTCAGTGTGTCTCAGTCTCTGCTCCTCTAAATGATGGCTGCTGGTCCGGACCGGTTAGTCCCAGTGCAGAACACGGACCCCCTGCCTGCAACAGGGGAAGAAGGAAATAAAGCGGAGCTTTACACCCCTTTAACCAGCTGCAGATCCAGAACACAGATTATTCCCAGAACCTCCATCCTGAATGATCCAGGTTTAAGGCCTGCAGTGATCAGAATCAGAGAAAATTATTTCAGTTTGAAATTTCACACAAAAAAAATCCTGTTTGCTGAAGAAATTCAGGCCTAATTTCTGGTGATTTTTAGAAATAATTTCTGCTTCTTCTCATTTAATCAAAAGCAGTTTGTGTCTAAAACTAATTTGTAATACTATAGATTTTAATCTTTAATCTTATAGATTCTGATCTTTAATATTATAGATCTTAAACAGTAATATTATAGATTTTAATCTATAATATTATTCATAAATTCCTGTTTTGTTTCAGAAGCTGTGACTGATTTATTGTTTTCCTGTTCGGAGCAGAGACTGAATTCATGTGTGCTGAAATGTAAAATGTTCCTGAAACAGCAGCCGGGAGTTCACCGCTTCTTCCTGGAGTTTCCTGGAAACATGAGGGGGAAGGTTCCTGAGACGGAGGGATTATCTCCCCCGCTGGCAGGAGAAGCCGGTCTTTGGGGCTGAATGTGAGACGGAGTGACTTGTTGAGGGGGATTTGGTTTGCGGCAGACAGACGGAGTGTGAAAAGGCGTCGGAGGAGGAGGAGAGAGCAGGTCAGAAAGCTGAGCACTCAGGAATGTTGGAATGTGGCTCCAACCGGCGTGCGGAGCTGCAGATCCACCTTGGGACGATGAACCCAGCTCATCTCGGCTGCCCGAGGACTCAAACACATCAGAGCAGGAATCGGGAACGCCGGCGTTCCGGCCTGTCCTGCACAGAGCTCCAAAAGAAGCTGCTGAGCTGCTGGAGGCACTTTTAGAGAGAAATCCGTTCTCCTGGAGCGGCTCCAAGAAGAAACAATGTGCCGCATTCAGGCCCAGATCGGGGGGGGGGGGAGTCTAGCTCAGCAGCTGGTGCTCCAAACAGCAGCCTGTAGATATCGTTTCCCTGCCGGAGTCAGAACTCCGACTAAACTCACTCACAACATCCTGCTTTTGTTCCTGGAAATTTAACCTGAAACAGGGAGCAGGACTCGAAAAGCAGAACCCGTTGCTCTCTGAGTGAAACCGGTTCTGGTTCCTGCAGGGAAGCAGGTGCTGTTTACTAACAAGTCCAAATGAACAGAAACCAGAATCGGTACCTCTGTCTAGATCCATGATGCAGTCAGGATCAAGCATGCTGGGAAGAAGCAGGCTCTCCTCATCGTCCCAGATTCTGCTTAGATCTGAGTTTTCACCAGAATCCAGGAAAAAAGGCGGACTGTGAGGTTCTGATCCATTAAGGCCCGATGAAGCCTGATGAAGCTGTGTGATTCCTTCAGAAATAATCTTTTTAGTGATTCCGCGCAGAACTGCTGACGGCCACTAGGCTGGTCAGGTCAGAGGTCAGCGACCCTCCGATCCAAAAAGAATCTGGGTCAAGAAGAAAAAACAGCAGCAGCAAACATCAGTTCGAAAACAGGAAAGTTTTTATTCAGAAATCAAAGATTTTAAAGTTTTAGAATAAAGAAAAACATAAAATAAAAAAAAAGTTTCCTCATAAAGTCCAAAACCTGCTTCCTGTTGGAAAACTACAGACATAATTCCATCGTTTTGGGCCGAAGGCATCAGAACCCCCGTGTTACAGTGAGGAGCATTGAGATCCGGTTCTAGAAGCTCAGCACAGAGTTCGACTTGTTCCCAGTTTGGTTCTGGTTCTGAGATCAGGTCTTGCTTGTAGCGTTCATAGATCCCTAGGTTCGGTCATGGTTGTTCTGATCCAAACGGATCTGTCTGTGAAGTCACCTTCTGGTTCCGTCTGCAATCCAAATGCAGACGTCTGTTCCGTGTTTTCAGACGTCCCTTTTTTGGTTCCTGTTCTGTGTGTGGAGGATTATGAACATTTCCGTCAAATAAGTTCTGATCATATTTAGCAAAATAAACTCTTTCATTCTTCAAAAAGAAAAAAACTGTTAATAATAAACAGAACGAGGTCCAACTAGCTGGAATGGGTTCTACTGATTCATCTGGACACAGCCAGTCTGAAAAAGGTTTTATCCAATCAGAATCTAGAGATCACTGTCAGACTCCGCCCACATCAGACCACACCCACTGGCTGATAGCTGCCTTTAGACCTGGAGATCTTCAGGTCCAACACCAACATGTAGAAATCGCTCAGAACCGTTCTGCGGTGCATCGCGCTCGTCTTTGATACACGGTGGGGGTGGGGCCACCCTGTGGGCCTGAGCTGTGCTGCATCACCTGTCTGGTTCCGTCTATCCTTCTTTCCCCGCTGCAGTTCTGGCCTGAAGATGTTTGATCCAAACTTTTAGGATAATGTTGAAGGAAATGTTTGAAATCCAAAGCTTCCCTTTTTATCTTAAACATTACAGAACATTTATAATTCAGAACTCTGCCAAAATGTATGCAGTGTTCACACCAGCGGTTTTATTTAAAACACGCTTTATGAACGTTTTACACATGCAGATTGGTAACACCAGACCCACATGTGTCGATCACATGACGGCATGCTCTCTGCATGCTTGTAGCTTTCTTTCCACCCACCTGTAGTCTCTCTCCTACCTGTGTGTGGACCTGTTTCTGCATGATCATGTTAACTTTTTGTCATTTTGAGAAACCACTTAAGAAAATACATTTATAAAATCTTTTAAGACAGTACTGTTTTCTTCCTGGTTGTGGCTAATAACGTTAGCAAAGCATCTTAAGGCCATTGCTGTTCTCTTATGATATGTTCACACCTAAAGCAGCAGAAGCAGCTCGTTTACATGCAAAGTCAAAGATTGACGTGCATCAAGGCGCAGCAAAAGGTCCTGCAGCGCGTTTTGAACAGCAGGAGCATCGCCTTACGAGCTTCTGAGCATCTGACGTGCAGGACGTGCTGCAAAAGCAGCAGCTGCTAGAGTTGGAAAAATTGAACTATTGCTGCTCAACATGCCACATCAACCAATCAGAGACGCTGATCTGAGAGCCGGCAGGGAGACAGACAGCACTGCTGATGCAGATCGCTATGATTGCTCCTCTGAAACTGTTTATTAACAACTAAATTAACTTAAAATGCTGAAATCTGCCAGCAAAATATGTTCGCTTTTATTATTCTGGTGCTTGCAGTTTGGATTACGTGCGTGAAAAACTCTAACATCTAATTCCAGCCGCTGTGGATTACTGCAAAGAGGCAACCAGGCCAGAGGCTGCTGTTGAACGGGACTCCTAGTGACAGCGCACCGTCGCTGTACGGGGGTCTGAGTGGCTCCGACAGAAATAATATTTGAAGGCAGGATGGTAATCTTGATAAACTGAATTCACAGATGAAGTTTTCAGGTGGACTTTCTCACTTAAAAACATCAATATTACTTTTTACCCACTGATTACAGCAAATATACTGTAGCTGCCATTGTTGGAGGCAGAGAAAGGATAGGGTAGCTCTGCCCAACGCGCATCAGACCCACTTTTCAAGGCGCGGGGCTAGAACAGCGAAGATGCTTCAGCCGCGCATCAGAGCTAAACTTGTACAAGCATCAAAAATGAAACAGCGCACGCGTTGTTCTGCTGCGTGAGGTCTGAACGTAGCATTAAAGGGTTAAATTCTGACTTTATACCCACATGCTGCCTCTGTCACATTGTAAATTCAAACTTGCTATTAATACTTTTTTTTCTTTAAAATACTTCTCAAAATGTGTAATGTAGCCAACCTTTTTCTTTCAACCTTCCTATGCAGTTATACCAGCTCGCCACTCTGGGAACCACTCAGCTAAGCTAATGTTAGCCACACTGCTTTTTAAGTGTTTTTCCTTCTGTGTCAAGCATTATTTTTACAATGTGTGTTTGTAAATTGATTAAAGATGCGGCTGATACATCTAAAGTAAGAATTTAACTCTTAGAGAACAGCAATTAACTGGAAGATGCTTTGGTAGCGTTAACTAACACAACCAAGAAGAAATGAGTAAAAATGGCGGGATTTCTTGACTAGTAGCCATCAGTTTTATTTTCTCTAGTGGTTACCAACCTGAAAGTGACAAAAGTTGACACAGATCCACATTAGACTAGGATATGTAATCATATGTGTGACTTATTGGGGCCTCATGGAGCTAATCTGCACACTTGAAACGTTCAAAATACTTGTGCAGGGTAGTTTGCACGCATGTGTTTTAAATAAACCTGCTTATGAGTATTGATTGCATGTACCCTTTCTGCAGAAATCCAACTTTATAGATATATCAATATTCAGTCAGGATGGATGGGTGTGCCTCAGGAAGATGCTGCTCTTCCTGTTTCTCCAGCCAATCAGAGGCCAGAATAGGTTCAACTTGTTTCTCTGACCAGTCAGCTGATGTCTCACTGTCCGTCTCTGTCTGCCCCCCCAGGATGAATTCCATCCTTTCATTGAAGCCCTGCTGCCCCACGTCCGGGCCTTCGCCTACACCTGGTTCAACCTGCAGGCCCGCAAGAGGAAGTTCTTCAAGAAGCACGAGAAGCGCATGTCCAAGGAGGAGGAGCGCGCCGTGAAGGACGAGCTGCTCAGCGAGAAGCCGGAGGTCAAACAGAAGTGGGCTTCCCGCCTGCTGGCCAAACTGCGGAAGGACATCCGCCCCGAGTTCAGGGAGGACTTTGTTCTGACCGTGACGGGGAAGAAGGCGCCGTGCTGTGTGCTGTCCAACCCCGACCAGAAGGGCAAGATGAGGAGAATCGACTGCCTGCGGCAGGCCGACAAGGTGTGGAGGCTGGACCTGGTCATGGTGATTTTATTCAAAGGGATTCCCCTGGAGAGCACGGACGGGGAGCGACTCGTCAAGTCGCCGCAGTGCTCCAACCCGAGTCTGTGCGTGCAGCCGCACCACATCGGAGTGTCCGTCAAGGAGCTGGACCTCTACCTGGCCTACTTCGTGCACGCAGGTGAGTCCTTGCTGCTGCTGAAGCTGTGTGGCTGAGAGGATGATGGTGAAGGGTTAACCCAGACAGAAGGTCCTGGTTGATGGGCTGCAGGTGTGTCTGCATGCAGACAGCTGCTGATGACATCACCACGGTCAGCTTCACAGCGTTCATCCGCTGCTGAAAGTAGTTGCAGGTTTGTTTGGACTTCTGTTCTTCATCGCCTCACGAAACCCAGCTGGTAGATCCCAGACGGCGTGTGTGTGTGTGTGTGTGTGTGTGTGTGGGGTAGACCTAGTTCACTCTGAGCTCTTAAACAGATTTCCAGCTTCATTTCTGGACTAATTACTGAAGCTCTGACTGACCTGAGGACAAACCTGAACTCTGTCCTCCTGCTGATCGCCGATCACTTCAGGTCACTTCAGGTTCCGTCAGAACCAGAACCAGCCTCATTGTTTATTTTTCATCTCTTCTCAGAGGCTTTTCTATCTATTTTAATTTTCTGCAGATTTTAGAATTATTTTTTTTATTTTGGTCTTAAGTTTTTATGTTTTCTTTTTTTTATTCTTCACTTTTTAAAATATATTCATATTGAAGGAAACATATAAAAAAGATTTTAACATCAAATTCAGTTAAATTTAACTTTTTCTATCTTTACCTTTATGGTAGAAAACTCAGTTCTAGCTGCTTTAATATGATTAATTGCATTAATGAATATTTTTTGTGGTGAGGAAGGAGAAATGTGCTCTAAAAACTGGCATGTTTCATTGATATAACCAACTTAGTTGATTAAATGCAAAGTGTTTTATTTATTTTCTTAAAACTTAATAATCAAATTAAAAAGAAAAAAATAAGATCACCAAATCCACCCATGTAGACCTAATGATAATGTATAACTTAATGATGTGAAGTTAGATCAGACAGATGCTAATAAGGGTTAATTACGCCAGTTTAGTTCGGTCTAATTTATTTATTTATTACCGAGTTTCATAAAGTTAATAGATTTTCTTCAGACAGTAATTGCACATTTGACATTTTTATGTCTCTATATCAATTAAACAAATGCAAAAAAGCGCACCTAAATTAACATTATTAAAAAATAGATATATATATTTACGAGCAGCACTGTGGGTTTGGATCATTAGTGACTCCAACGTTTAGAAGCACCCAGATGGATGTCGGTACGTCCCATAACAGAAAATATTAATTCTCTATACTGCGTTTAAAGGGACAGGATTACAATAAATTAGTTTGCTAATCTTAGATAAATTAAAATCTATTGTTGTTATTTAAATACAATAAAACCTGCTTATGTTCAATATAAAAATGTAATTTTAAGTATTAATTTGACCATAAAACTGTTTAATAAAACAAATAATGTCCCAATTTCATTTCTTAAAGCAACTTTGGACAATGTTAATAAACAAAAACACCCAATCAGTATGAAGTTACAGGATTATGTTTTAACCCATCTTTTATCTTTAGCTGTTTCAGTATCTGTTATTATTTAGATACTATTTAATCTGCTGATGTTCATCAGGAAAACATTCTGGTAATAATTTCAGTTTTAAATAAAGCATTTAATTTGTTTGTTTTTACATTTAGTACATTGTGAGGCCCCTTTCAGCTGCTGCTTCTTATGGGGCCTGTTTCTGGGTCAGGGGTCGGGTTCAATGAGTTGGAGTCGGTATAGAAGGATGTGTGATTGAATCAGCTAATCACAGTGAAAGTGTGAGGAAGAGGAAACTGATGAAGGTCTCTGCGCTGGTCCCAGGTCAGCTGTCAGGCTCCCGCTGCGGGTCAGGCTGTTCTTCTTCTTCTACTGGTTGTGTGGAACCATGGAGGCTGCTGGGGTTCCTGAACAAAAACAGAACCTCCTCCGTCAGAACCGCTCTGGGTTTCTTCCCATCTGAACCCAGAGGAAAAGAGGAGGACAAGAGCACTGCAGTTTACAGAACCAATAGACCAGATTTATAAACAGATCCTGGTTCTGTAATAAAGCAGCCTGGTTAAGTTTATTGTCCTGGTTCCATTGAGTTGTTTTATCTCCCTCCTGCTGAGCAGCAGGTGGCGACAGTAGAAAGAAAAGACTCACTTTAAACAAGAAGAAACCTCCAGCAGAATCAGAACCAGATTTATTGAGCAGCTGAAGGTTAGAACCACAATTAGAGCAGAACCAAAAGCAGGAGCAGGTCCAGGTGGTTCTGTTTTGGTCGGTCTTCTGCTGACCCATTTCTCTCGAACTTCGGCCTTTTGGACCCACCAGCTCTCTGCTGTCTCACCGAGGACAGCACCTCAATTCTATCAGCTTCCTAAGTGATCAGATAAATCAGACAGATGTCGCTTCTGTCTGCTGTTGTTGGAAACTTTAGAAACCTGAAGTTGGACTGGATTCAAACTTCATTGTTTATCCTCAGATGTTTTCAGCGAGCTGAGAGCTGTCTGAGGTTAACAGGTTCCTGAAAGCTTCACACACACCGAGCAGTGCGGAGACGGTGCAGCACAGCTGCGAGCATCTGCAGGCAAACGCTCCACAGATGGTGCAAACAGAGATGCTCCTGGGCGCCGTATGGCAGCGGGAACAGAGGAAGGAGGAGAAGAAGAACAAACCGGGTCGACGTTCTGCTTCTTGATTCCAGGCTGTGGAACATTAAACCTGCTCTTCACATCAAACTTTGATCCTTTTCCAGCTGGATTAGCAGGAAAACCTGCCGCTGTGCTGGACATCTAACACCTTCAGGGACACAGCTCTGACTCTGACTTTAATTAATTGAAGGATTTTACATTTTCTATTAAATTATGTTTCAGTTAAATTAAAATCAACTAATAAAATGTAAATTTATAAAAAATATATAAAATGGATTCTTATTTTATTAGTTGTAGAAATATTCCTTCCAAAAATCAAAGAAAAAAACTGAAAGGTTTTCATAAATTGTTTAAAAAGATTCCAGCTTTATCTGCCCTCAGCTTCAGGCTTGCAGCTCAGTTTGCTGCAGAAAGGCGGGACGTACTAAATGTTGGATCAGAACCTTTCCAGCCCTCTCCAGATCAGGACGTCCTCTATGGCTCCCGTTGATGCTCAGCAGCTTCTGGACTGAACTTGGCAGCAGAGGAAGCAGCTCTGTGTGAGACCTGAACACAACACAAGGACACCATCTGTGGAGAGAAAGAGGAAAACCATCTAGGATCGCTCACCAACAGCCCCCAGCTTCTGATTCCCGCCCAAACCTCCCAGTTCAGGTTTTATTTTAGGTCCGACCTTCGCCTCCGCAGGTGGAGGCACTCCAGGGACAAAGAAGACGTCCAAAAAGAAGCTAAAATAAAGCCGGAGGAGAAGAGGAAGAGGGCGGGAGAGTCTTCATCAGCAAGAACAGACTGAAGAAGCTCGTTCAGGACCTGAGTTCTCCTTCTGCATCGGTTTTGACAGTTTGGACCATCTTCTGTATCGCTCACCTGATTACATGGTGTTACCAGATTAGGATGATGATGATGAAGAGCATAAAGATGAAAAGGCTGATACTGGTGATGATGGTAACAATGACGATGATCCAGTCCAGTTTTATTTCTAAATTCCTCTAAAACCCTAAAAGGAACCAAAGTTCTGTGCAGTGAAAACTATAACAAATAAGAGCCCCAAAGCAAAAAGAGATAAAAACAATAAAATAGTAAAAAAAAAACACCCATAAAATCAAGTTAAACTGCAGCTGAAGCTAAAGTACAAGGGGGTGTGTTTACAGAAGATTTAAAAAGTGGCCAATGAGGGGGTCTGTCTGATGTAACAGGAAGTCCTTCCACATCTCAGGCCCGTTAGTCCTGCTTTAAGGGGCGTTGCAGTGATCCAGCTGGGTGGTACCGAAGGCTTGGACTACTATTGGAAAGAGGTTCCACAGAAGAATGAGTTCATCTGGCTTCTACATTTGTTACGTTAGAACTAACTTAGCAAGGGAACCAAGATCTCCTGAAAACCATCAGCACAGGGTTAATTTAAGCTCTGGGAATTAAAGAAATTCCACACCTTGTTAAAACTCTCAAGTTGAAGTGAAGAGGCATCCTTTCCACAGAGAAGAAGGTAAATCAGAGAGTCATCTGCATAACGGGGAAGTGTAACCTCTGCTTCCTGAGAACAGAGCTGAGGGGAAGCAGGCAATCTGGCCCATCATGGCAATTTATCCCTCCCTTAGGAGCCAAAATAAAAACGAAAACCACTTTACCATAACTATATCATGCCGTGAAATAGAATAAATTATTATCCTAAAAGGAACAAAGTGTCTAATAATGAAAAAATCAGTCAACAAAGCAGAGCTTTGAAAATGAAATGAGCAAAGTTTCATTTCTACAGCTGCAACCGACCCGTTTAAAGAGCCGGTGATGCCGACGTTTAGAATTAAATCATCTTACTCCTGAGAAAGAGGAAAAAGATAAGGAAGAAAACGAGGAAGAGGATTTTCAGATTTAAAGAGAAATTATGGAGAAACTTTAAAATCCAGTAGAGGCCAGAAGGTCCAGATGAGGGTGGTTCTGTGTCTAGTTCTGACTTCTCTTAGCAGTTTGCTTGCAGCGGTTCTGCAGGTGTTGGTTCTGCTCTGACCTGTTCTCCGCTCTGTGTCTCAGCAGGTCCACACAGCACAGTGTTCTGAACCTCCTGCTGCTGGCCTGATCTGAACCAGGGCCTGTAGCAGGTTACCTTTCTGTTTTCCTTAACTGGTTCTGCTTCAGATTTCCCCTTCTGTTCGCAGAACAAACTGCTTCCAGCTCGTGAGGGTTGGCTTCTGATTGCGTTTTCTTTTTAATCCTCATAAGCAGGAATCAAACATTCGGTAAACCGGCTCCGCGCTGCAGGATTACATCTGGGTTTGTTTAAGACGCCACTCCGTGTTCTGGATTTATGGGATTTGTTTGGAATAATACCTGATTTTTTGAGGCAGCTCTGAGTCAGGGTTCTGGTGTTTGCTGCAGCAGGTCCAACTGTAACCCGGCACCAACCGGCAGGTCCGGAGGGAGCCTGAATGCAGCAGGAGGTGACAGCCGATAAACGAAGAAGGATGAGGAGCTGCTGACTGGACACCAGGTTCTGGATCTACTGGGATTGAGCCTCTTCCTCCTCCTGGTTCTGATCCAAACAACATTCTTTTTAATGTCCCGTCATCAGTGCAGCCCAACTTTACCTAACTGCTAATCATCTTCAGACCAAATGTTTTCAACATAAAACATGAAAATATGAAGAGATTGAACTGAACTAAAGTTACCCACATGTAATGAGGCAGAACCTGAGCCCAACAGAACCTTAAACCAGTTCTCTGGTGAACAGGAAGTCGTGGATCCACTGAGGAACAGAATCTGGATAAACTGGAGTTAATGTTCTGGATAACATACGTGTGCGTTTATTTATGTTAACTGTTTAGGACTCTTATATCTACCAACCTTCTTAGGACCAAGGCCCCATGGGGCCCTAATTTCTGATTCTAGGGCCCTTCGTTTCTGAAAACAAGTTAGATCGCTGCATCAGCAGTGAGATGGTGAGAACGTTCACACACCAACTAATAGCAGCTTCTTCCGGGCTGTTAACAACACCCAGCCTTTTTATCCAGAGCTGCAAAGAATCGTAACATAAATGTTATGCTATTTACAGTAAAAGTTTCATAATTTTAGCGACACAAATCTGCTAAAAAAAAAAAAAAAATCAGTTAAAACAACAACAAAAATAAAAAATTTAATAATTCTGGTTTTAAAAAATGAATTAAATATGCAAACAGGCATAAGTGGAATGAATAGAATACCAAGCAATGATGTAAATAAAAATAACTGCAAAACTCAAATTTAAAACTGAATAACCGATCATTAAATTTAGGGAAAAGTTCTTCTTAAAAAGTATAATGCCTTTAGTCAGACGTTTAACCTTATTATGTTTCTCTGCTAGCTCCTGTGTTTCCTGCTTTTCTGTAAAAAAAAAAAATCTGATGACCAACTTTTGATGTTATTACCTCTTCAGAGGTCTTCTGTCTGACTGTCTACAGGATAACTGTAAAACTTATGGAGGGATTTTAAGGATATTTTTATCAGAAGTGTCTCTCAGGCTAAGGTGATGATCCACGTCATAATTTTTTTAAAGAATCTGTGAGATAGGGATATTTTTCGGAACAAGCAGTTCCACACCAAACCAGAGGGTGGCAGCAGTGACTATTGACGGCCTCAAAAACACAAAAAAGGAACGTTAGTTAGGAGGATCAATTGAAAACTTGAACAGATTTTTTATATGGAAATTGTTTAGCATAGGTGTCCCTTATACCAAGGCAGGGGCGGAGCTAGATGGGGGGCCAGGGGTGGCCAAGGCCTGAATATTTCACTCTCAAATGGAATATTCAAAACATTAGAATTTTTTGTGGTTAATTATTCACATCAATATACTAACATTAACGATGATGAGTACAGAATTCATGATCTTTTCAGAACTACATTTTTATTTATATGGGATAGAATTCTGAAAATAAAATGATGTCTTTGCAAGACATCCAGGACTCTTCAGTGAAATCAGACATAAATAACTATTATAATAAAACGGTATAAGGTACTTATAGGTAGATATAAGTACTTGTAAATATCAATTTTATGCAGAATGATTTTTGATAAAAGTAGGTAAGTAATGACAATGAAAAAGATGTACGCCCGAGAACTCTAACCTGAAACTATTGCATCCACTATACCTTTTATCTAGAGCACGGCTGTTTAAATATATGGTCTATTTGTTAGCAAAGGCTGCAGGAAAGTAAAGTTTGTCTTTATTTTGAAAATGTGGATGTCTTGCCTGTTAATTCCCCTGTTGGAACAGTGTAGATTGACCCTGAGGTTCTGGTGTCTATCCACTATCGACCACCCCTTAGTGTACATTGGTTATTGCCTGGCCACCCTTAAAAAAATGTCTGGCTACACTTCTGTGATGATGTGAGTTTTACCCATAGGTTTAAGTCACGATTTGGAGGAAAATTTGGCGCTTGGCTCTCAGAGTGCTTTTCTAGTTACTAATTTACTGTGTTTCGTCTGCCATAGAAAATCTTTGCTATTTCTGTATGAGTTTGAGCTCAGAAATGTTTCACTCACAGGAAGCCTGCAGGCTCTAAAGAGAAACCGCAAAGATTTGGGTCAAACTCTCTCATTTATTTTGAGAGAGGTAAGTAAGAAGTTAAAAAACCTAATACCTGTTTTAGGGAGTTTTGGAGGATTTTTCACCTCTATAGCGAATAACTCCCATCATTATCAGTCTGTTGTCCAAAATTAACCTCACACTGCTCTTTCCTTGTCTGCGCATCAAGCTGAACCCTAAAACCTTTAAAAAAAAACTTTGATTTCTACAAGATCAAATATGTATTATTATAAAGAAAAGCAGAATCTATCTTAAAGTTGTGTTTTCTGAAACTATAATCGTATATAAAATAAAAACACTATAATGCAACAAAAAAATAAACTCGAGGGGGCCTCCCTTTGTTGCCCTTTGCGCCCCAAGCAGCGGCTAACTTCCAATGCCTTGGGACGGCCCAGTTCTGAGGACAGACAGTCTTATGGAGACCAAAGTCTTGTCCAAATATGGCCGACCCCTGTTTCTAATGCTTGGGATGGATTAACTTAGGATTTAGGTAACTGTCAGGGTTAAAGCAGAGAACTAAAATAAATGACAGTGAATGAAAAGCCTAATATGGGCAGAAGTAGGTACGTATGTGTGTGTGTGTGTTGGATCAATGCACTGACTCCTCTGATAACTGAACACATGAATTCAGATGACACATCTGTTCAGTCACCTCATCGATCAGGGCCTGCTCTGCTCTCTCACACACTTTCCTGTTTTACTATATGTTATGAGGACCTTGCTTTGACTCTCATTGACTTCCAGTCATTTCAGCCCCATAGCGCCTAACCCTAGCCCTAAAGCTAACCATTACCAGTGCATACCTGACCCTGACTACAGTGGAGGAGCTAGAAAACTTCCATAGGGGGCAGGCCAGAAATGGAAAGCGCCAAAAACCAGCTAAGAGTCAATCTAAACTAAACTGAACCAACAGGAAAATGAACGACCACAACTGGATTTCCTGAATAAATCAATGAAGGCAGACCAGATTTTCATGAAGCCCAGGCTAATAAATCTAGACACGTATTTCTACGTCTAT